CTTCATGCCCTGCTCTGCCTCTGCTGCCATTGGGGACCTCAGGGGACCTTAAAGCCCCCCTGTGCCCCCTTCCCACCAGTCTCTGCCTCACCAGGGCCCATCCCCAGGGTGTCAGGCCCGTGCCCAGGGAACTCACCCCACAGAAGCAGTGCCACCTTCCCGGCCATCCCGGTGTCCCCAGCCATGTGCACTGGCTGTCACTCGCTGCTGTGGCCGCTGCTCCCCTGGCTGGCGGCTCTTCAGATGAAGGGAAAGGAAGCGAGGTCACGTCTGTCCCCACGTGTAGGTGGCCCATGGTGGGGGCAGGGTGGGGACAGGATGGGGACAGGCTGGAGACAAGGCTGCATAGTCTGGGGACATGGTGGGGACATGATGTTGCCACAATTTGGAGTCTAAGGCTGTGTAGGGAGCCAGGGATGAGTGTCCAGGAGAATGGGGTGCCCAGGGATGGAGTCCCAGGTAAATGGGTGTCCCAAGGGTTGGGTAGACTCAGACTTGGGGATGAGGGTGCCAGAACAATGTGGCCTCCAGGGATTTGTGATCATGAAATGGGTGTGCCAGGGGAAAGGGGGACCCTGTGAGAATGGTGGTCCTGGGGGAATCAAGGTCCCCAAGGGCAGTGGTGTCCCACGGTCTGAAATTACTGGGATGCTGTTCCTTGGGATTGGAGATCCTGGGGAATTGCAGTCCAGGGATGGGGGTCTCAGGGAACGGGTGGCAGAAGGAAATTGGGTTCCAAGGTTGGGGTCCTAGAGGAATGGGGGTGCCAGGGTTGGGGGGGAACATGGGGGTCACAGCTCCTTCCCTGGGTGCCTCAGATTTTGGGGTGATGCGAGGCCCCGCATAATCACCCCTGGGATGTTCATTTCCTGGCCAGGCATGGCATGGGGGTCCTGGGTAGTTCGGCCTCTGTGTCCTCGCCTGCCCCTGACTTTTTCCTCTCTTTATTTCTCTTTCTTCCTTATACTTCTTACTTTTTGCCATATCCCCTCACCCCCGGTTCCTGGCTCAGAAATCCTGGGGTGCACCTGAGCAGGGAACGGGTTGGGGGACCCAGGAGAGGGGGGAAATGGGGAGCAGGGGGTGCAGGGAAGGGTGAGGAGGCTTTGGGGGATGGAGGTGCTGGGCTGTGCCCGCTCAACACTTTCACTTTCATGGTCCTGGAGGAGAGGGAAGAGGCCATTTGTGCTGAGAATTAGATGGGAAAAGGGGGCATTCTCTGTTTCTAGGGGGGCACATACAGGGGGCTTCTGTCCTCTAAGGTCTCTCCTCTGGAGTTCAGCTGGGGGATCCTGTCCCAGGGGGTGACACATCCTGGCATGGGGGGTCCTGTCCCAAGGGGTGGCAGTTCCAGAAATGTCCCTGCACATTCCTGGCCGGGTGCCTGTCCCAGGGGTGGCACATCCTGGGGACCCCTGCCAATGCAAGAGTGGGGCCCAGCCATGGCCCAGCCCCACTGCACAGGGATGGCCATTGCCCAGCCCTGCTCTGGCCAGCCCCAGGTGGCAGCCAGCACCTGAGGATCCCCCCTGCCCCCTTGGCTTTGATTCTGGCAGCTTTAGAGCTGCTGCAGAGGTGAGAATTCTGTGGGTGGAAAAAGGCCCCCCCACAGGATGAGCTGAGCTGTGGTTTGCTCAGCCCTGCAAGAAGCAAAAAATCCCAAAGAGAGCCCAAGCAGTGGCTCTGTGAGGGCCTTTGATGGTTTTCAGAGCAGGGCTGCCTGGAAAAACCCCTGCAGGGGCACCTGCGAGGGAACCAGTCCAGAAATGCAGCAATTGATCATTTGGACCTTGAGGTACACAGGGGCATTTCCCCAGATTCCTGTGCACTGTCCCAGGGATGGACAGAGCTTCTCCCCTTCCTACAAGGGAAATCAATCAAGTTTCAGGGTGGGAATGAGCAAAATGGGGAGAGTTCCTAAAGATGGCCCAAGAAAAGGCTTCCTTCAGGGCTCGGTTGCTACCCAGCAGGCAGGGAACAATCCCATGGAGCTGTTGGACACTCAGGGAGATTCCCCACTCTCTGTTATCCCCAAGCAAATGCTGCTGTGGTATGTACCAATGGGCTCCTAAAGAGAACTGAAAACTCTCATTTCATTGTGATTTGTTTGCGGTATTTTGTGAGTGACTTATTGGGAAAGCAATGGATTCTATAAAGCAGAGCATTTATACCTTGACAGTTGTATTTTCACTGAGTTTTTACATATTGGGAAAATAATGGTGTGGGAAAGATTTTTGGTTTTATTCTATGGCTTTGGTCTGAACCAACTGGTCTTCAAGTGTTGCCTGGCATTGCTGAGCCAGGAAATGGGGGGACCTGACCTGGGGGTGTGTGGGGCAGGGACACAGAGTCTCCCAGGACAGCCCTGGAGTGCTTCAGGTATAGCGCTTTGCTGGGCTCTGAGTCACCCCAAAATCTGAGGCACCCTGGAAAGGAGCTGTGACCCCTGTGGCCACGTAGCAACTGCCCAACCCTGGCACCCCCATTCCCATGGGAACCCAACCATGGGACCCCCATTGCCTTGGTCTCTCCTCCGCAGAGACCCCCATCCCAGGACTGCCATTGCCTGCCACCACCATTGCCTTGATCCCATCCGATGGGCTACTTCTTCCCTCAGAACCCCTGTTCCCAAGGGTCCCCTTTTTCCCCTGCACCCCCAACCTTGGGACCCACATTCCACGACCCCAAATCCTTGGGGACCATGTTCCCACAGTTCCCCTGGACCCCCATTCTGCTGGACACCCATCCTTGGTTCTCCACATCCCCTGAACCCCCTACTCCTGGCAACACCATCCCCATCATGTCCCCAGCCTGTGCCCAGCTTGTGGCCACCTTGCCCCCACCAAGAGCTACCTACACATGGGGACGGACATGACCTTGCTTCCTTCCCCTTCATCCAAAGAGCCGCCAGCCAGGGGAGTAGCAGTGAGTGACAGTCAGTGCACATGGCTGGGGACACCGGGATTGCCGGGAAGGTGGCGCTGCTCCTGTGGGGTGAGTGCCCCGGGCACGGGCCTGACACCCTGGGGATGGGGAGGGGAGGGGGCACAGGGGGACTGCGGGGTCCCCTGAGGTCCCCAATGCCAGAAGAGCCACTCCATGTTACCCACAGTGGACATTGGTGTGACTGGGAATGTAGGGTGGCTTTGGGGACAGGAAGAGGGGGTAGGAATTTGGGGATGGGGATGTGGGGACAGGAATGTGGAGACTTACACCTTTGGGCTCAGGGAGCTCTGAGCATAGGGACAAGGGAACTGGGATGCAGGGACAGAAGGGGACAAGAATGCTGAGGATGTGGTCATGAGGATGGGATCATGGGGATGGGATCGTGAGCTGGTGGGGTTGGTCTGTGCCAGCATGGGCTGTGTCCGTGGTGTCCTCATGCCCACGGTGTCCACAGTGTCCCCATGTTCTGCCTCAGCGCAGGATGGCCTCAGGGTCCCTGTTCCCAAGGTGTCTGTGCCACATGGATGTGGTGCACGTATGGCTGTGACACAGACATGTCCCCCTGCCTCTCCAAATCTTTTGGGGACCACCCAGACACACTTTCCCACAAGAACTGCTGTCCCCACAGGGACAGTTTGTGGACAGCCCCCACACGCCTTGCCCCAGTGCTGTTTTCCCTGCAGTTCCACCCCCACCCAGCCCTGCCCCTTCTCCCTTCCAACCCAGACCCTCGGCCTTGCTGGTGAGTCCTCAGGGGATGCCATGTTCCCACCTCACTGTACCCAGCCCCACACTGGCCCTGGCAGGCTGGTGTCCCCTGTCACCTGCAGGTGCCCAGACCACCCAGATCCTGGTGGAGCCCTCCTGGAGGCCGGCGGTGCAGTGGGACCGGGTGACACTGACCTGCCAGGGCTCAGAGACCGCCAGTGCCACCACCTGGTATAAGGATAGATGGCGCTGAGGCAGCAGGAACCTGACCGCTTCACTGTCACAAAGAGTGGCACCTACACCTGTGACAGACCTGGCACTGGGCGTCGCCCTGCTGTGAGAGTCTTAGATGGTGAGGGGGCTTCAGGTGTCCCCAGGCTGGCACCTGCAGGGACCCCAAGGGCTCTGGGTGGGCTCCGCTCCATGGGTCACCTCCTGTGTGGCCAGAGCCTGTCCCCTGCTCTGGGGACATCCCAGAACATCCCACTGTGGGGGAACCCTTTGTTGGAATTGGGGACCCCGGTGCACCCAATTGGGGATCTCAGTGCCATCAGGTATGACAGGAACCCTCTGTCCCCTAGACGGGCTGGTGCTGCAGGTGCCAGCACAGATGCTGCTGGAGGGGGACACGGTGACACTGCGCTGATGGAGCTGGCGAAAAAATACGGTCACCTCGGTGTCATTTTACCATGAGGGGAAGAAACTGGAGGGGCTCCGTGATGGCACCGAGCTGTCCCTGTCCCCTCTGCAGCTGCACCACAGAGGCAACTACCACTGTTAGGGCTGGGTGAGCAAAGGGGTGTCAAAGTGGAGGGTGTCGAAGAGGGTTAGAGTGACAGTACACAGTGAGTGCAACGATGGGGACAGGGAAGCCCAACATCCTCCAAGGATTTCCTATCACTGCCTGAATCCTTCATCCCTCCCTTTTCTCCTCCCTGGGTCATATAAAATTTCCCAAGTCCCTCCTGGTTTCCCCCATGACTGCCCAGTTCCCCCTCCTGATCCCTCATCCCTCTCTTTGTCCTTCCCATCCCTCCCTGGATTCCCCACCCTTTCCAAGGTCCCTGCTCCACCCTCGGCTCTCCCTTCCTTCCATGGGTCCTCCGGCCTATCTATAAACCCCAAATCATTCCCTGAGTCTCCTCAGTCTCTCTTGTGGTTCCCCACCCCTGCCTGGGTCTCTGCACCTTTCCATGGGGTCTTACCATTGTCCCTAGGTCCCAACATGCCTCCCAGGGTCCCCTTCTGCTCACTGGGATCCTCTCTGCTTCCCTCCAATCCCTTCCTTTCCCTCCCGTGTCTCCCACCCTTCCTGGGTCCCCAATCCCTTCTGTGTCCATCCACAGGGGTCCCACTCTCAGGGGTGTCCCTGTTGGTGCAGCCACCCAGGGGACAGGTGGCACTCGGGGACAGCCTGCTGCTGACCTGAGAGGTGGCCATGAGGACAGGCCTCCTGTCCTTCTCCTGGCACCGGGAGAGCTTGGGTGCACTTCTGGCCACCGGCCCCTGCCTGGAGCTGCAACACGTTGGGGACAATGACAGCGGCCAGTACCAGTGCCAGGTCAGCGACGGGAACAGCATGGCCAAGAGTGACTCCCTGAATGTCACCGTTCTGGGTGAGCAGGACCCTCGGGTTGGGGGTGACTCCACCCATGGCACCCCCCTACCATCTCACCAGGTGCCAGCACCATCTCTGTCCCCACAGTGCCTGTAGCCAATGCTACCATCACTCCCGGTCCCCTGTCACACCAGGTGCGTGCAGAGGACAACGTGACCCTGCGCTGCTCAGTGCAGGTGGGCTCAGCCCCTGTCACCTTCACCTGGCTGCACAATGGGCAGGAGGTGGCCCGGGGTCCCCTCCTGGAGCTCAGGGACATCGATGTGGGACACTCAGGCACCTACCAGTGCGTGGCCACCAACCAGCTGGGACAGGACGGGCACCGCATGTTCCGGGCACTGAGCCCAGAGCTGGCCCTGGAGGTGACACCTGGCTCACCCTGGGTCACAGGTGGGGTGACACAGGTGGGGTCACCAGGGAGTACCAGTCTCCTGGGCTAATGGGTGATCCTGGTGTGTCCCCCTCTGTTTCTTGCAATGGCCACAGGGGTTGGTGGGGTCCTTTTCATCCTGCTCCGACTTGTGGGTGTCATTGTGACCTGGCACCAGTGCCACCTTGTGGGTTGGTAACAATGGGGGGACGGGGGTCCCAGGGAGCTGTAGAGGCCCCCAGAGTTGGGGAGCGATAGGGCAGCACCCACAGCCCCAGAATTGTGACCATGTCTGGGGGTCCTGAAGGGTTTGGGAAGACACTGGAGGGTCCTGCAGAGATGTTGGGAGATCTTTCAGGAGCCCCAGGCGTATCTGGGGGTCTCTGTCTCTGCCAGGCTTTGGGTTCTTGAGGCTGAGTTGGTTGAGGGCACTGGGAATGTTCATGAATTCTGGAGGGCTTCAGGGATGCTTGGGGGTCCTGAGGGGAATTGAGGGTCCCGTGGGAGTTCAGGAATCCTGAGAGGGGTCAGGGCTCTGGGACCTCACAGTCACCCCGCCCCTCTTTCCTCTGCAGCTGCCAGGAAGAACCAGGAAAGGTGAGTGGGGGGCTCCAACCACACTGTCTCATTTTACCCCGACCCCCAAGACCTTCCCTCCCCTCCCCCACATCCCCTTTATTCCCTCAGGGCCTCCCCGGATCCCCCAGCCCCCCAGAGGAGGGGGAGGTGCTGTACACCCACGTTGTGGTCACCAAGAGGGCAGGGGGTGAGTACAGGGGGGAGACACGCAGAGGGACACGTCACCCACCAGTGTCACCCCACCCAGATCCCACAGCCCGTGTCTCTCGCAGCATCCCCCCGTGCCACCACCCTCCAGGATCCCCAGGCGACCTACGCAGAGCTGCGGAGACCCCAGGGGTGACCGCAGGAACCCGGTAACATCTACAGGAATGTGCTGTGACACTGGGGGAACTGGGGGGAACTGGGGGTCCCCACCCATGGGCACCCACTCGTGTGTGTACTGCCACTAAAAACTACACCTCTCCTTCCGCGTGGCGGCACAAAGATCCCAAAGGGCTGAGAGAAGTACAATTTCCTGAAACAGCAACCAGAGAGAATAAAACCAACAGCAACAACAACAAGGCTCAGACTCCAAATGGTCACACAAGGAACGATTTCCAGGGAAAGCCAGCAATAAGGAACAAATCCCAGACATTTCCCCCAGCACGTTTCCTCCACCAGATGAACCTGGCATGGCTCTGGACCTTCCTTGCTATGATGGCCAAATCGGGCTTCAAGAGGCTCTAGATTTTCTTCTCCCCTGTCCCAAACGTGTCCTCTTCCATGTTCCCCACATCAGGATGACACAAAGTCCCTGTGGGGGTTCCAGACCCTCCCCCTTTTCCAGGACACCTAGGATCAGGCCATGGCACAGGGTGGGGTGTCAGAGACAGGAAAAGCTTCATGTCTGGAGGCATTTTCGAACACCTATGTGTGGTAGGGATGGGTCAGGCCTTGCTTTTGGTGAGACAGGGCTCCATTTGTCCATCAGTCTGTCAGCTGTGGCACACTGGGCACAGTGTGACGCTCTGCCAAAGCCAGCTCCTGAGTGACCGGGTGACCAGAAGTGCCACCTGGGGAGAGAGCCCTTGGTGTCCCAACTGGCTTAAAAGGCAGAGCAAGAGGTGGCCAAGTCCCTGACCGTCTCTCCTTTTAGGGTATCTGCCCCATCCACGCTGGAACCCAGGAGTTGGCACCTCATTTAAATGAGAAATATCTGCCAAGGAAAGTAGAAACCTTCCTGGAATAAGAAGACCCATCTCTAAAACTCTTTTTCTAATTTCAAAGATTATGGGAATACCAGGCAAAAGTGTAGGAAAAGGAATAACAGCTCTGTAGTGGGAAATTTTTAAAGCAGAACAAACAACACAAACCCAGAACTTTCCCTCCCACTCAGCGCTGTTGGTTTTTGGGGCAGTTATAACCTCGGCCAGCAGGGGGCGGGGCAGGGAGCACTCCTGGCCAGCAGGGGGCGCTGCAGGCAGCATTCCCGGCCAGCAGGGGGCGCCCCGGTCCAGCTCCATCCCCTCAGGGGCCATGGCGGCCTCGGACGGGAGGGACGAGGGGAAATCGCTCCTTTTGCAAACTCACGGCCACCAATCGCTCCCGGCACCGCCACCGGCAGTGGGCAGAAGCCGCCAAGGCAGCAGGTTGCATCCCAGTGCCCACTGGCAGTGTGGCAGTGTCCCGGGACCAGGCACATGCCCTGCACAACACCCGTGACTGCTCTCCATAATCCCGAATGGAAGGAAGGCAGCGCCTGACCCCAGGCAGTTCTCGGGTCCACAGCAGCACTTCTGGTGGCTTTACACCACAATTCCTGCAAACCCTCAGCCTTTCACTCAGGTGAGGAGTGCAAGGATGGAGCAGCTTTGGGGACACCTGGAATCCACACAGGGTCACTCCCCACAGCCCCAGCACTGCCACGGGTAGGGCCACTGACCGATACTTCCACACTTTTCTCTCTATTTTTGTGGACAAAGTCGGAATCTATTGGAATATGAATCCCAATATTACCAGTTATATTGTGCCTGGGCCAGTCTGACCCTCACTGCTGGGCCAAAGGCAGCAACTGTGGTGTGTCACCCCAGAGATACCTTGGCTCGCTGGTGGTTGCAGCTGGGCACTGAACAAGTCCAGGCTTGTTAGGAACTCCGTTTACCTCAGGAGAGCTTCAGGCGATGGTGAAGAAGAAAGGAGAGGATTCTGCTAGAGAGTTTAATCCAGAGCTTTATTCCATGGTTACAGAGGTCTCAGTGTAGGCAACTGCTCCAACAGAACCCTAGCTGCGTGGCCTGATTACCTTTTTAAGCTCCCGGAGCAGGGGGAGGGGAGGGGACAGGTGAGCCACCCAACCAGGTAAGAGGGGCAGGGTCTCGGGGGGGATGACACCTAGACAGGCTAATGACCCCTGGGCATAGGGGCATCTTTTGAACTTGACCAACCACACGATGCCTTGCTGGAATGTTAAGCCTGATTGACAGGACTCACTCAGCATGGGGGCAAGGGGGAAGGGACAGAGGTATAGGCACACCTGGGGAAGGAACCCGGTAGCTTAAGACACACCGCAACAGGAATCCAAGCATTCTTTACATGAGGTTCCTCAAGACTGCAGATTTTGTTGAAGAAGGAGGTTCCCAGGAAGGTTGTTAGCACATTGTTGAGCGATTTGCAGTAACTTTGAGGTTCTCTCACTCCCTTACCGAGAGCAACAAATGATAAATTGCTGCATTTCCAGGCTGGTTCCCACACAGCTGCCCCTGCCAGGGGGGTTTCCAGCCAGCCCTGCTCTGAAAACCACCAAAGGCCCTTGCAGAGCCACTGCTTGACCTCTCTTTGGGTTTTGTGCTTCTTGCAGAGCTGAGCAAACCACAGACAGGTCTTTTCCGCCCACGCAGAATTCTCATCTCTGCTGCAGCTCTAAAGCTGCCAGAATCAAAACCAAAGGGACAATGGGGACCCTCAGGTCCTGGTTGCCACCTGGGGCTGGCCAGAGCAGAGCTGGGCAATGGCCATCCCTGTGCAGTGGGGCTGGGCCATGACTGGGCCCACCATTGGATGGCCACTGGCTTCAAGGAGCAGGAGTATGGGAGCTCCTTCCTGCCTGGGGCTCCATTCCCCAGCTCCTCTTGCTGCCTCAGATCCAGCAGGGGACGAGCAAGAATGGAGAAGTCTGGACCCCTCCAAAGCTGCCAAGCTCCAGGACAGGACCCTCTTTCCCAGCATGTGTCCCCCCGGGACAGGAGCCCCCCTGGGTAGGAGCCCCCTGGATGTGCCCCCTAAGGACAGAACCCTTCCCCCCCATGTGAGAAAGGTGTCAAATGGCCTTTTCCTTCTTCTGCGGGAGACAGAAAGTGAAAGAGTTGGGGGGTAAAAGCTGGACTCCCCCATCCCCCACAGCCTCCCCAGCCCTCCCTGCAGACCCCTCACCCCTGCTTCCCCTACCCTGGGCTTCCCAGAGCCTGTTCCCTGCTCCAGGTGCCCCCAAGGACCATCAAGGCATGAACTGGGAGGTTGTGAAATGGAGGGGTAAAATGATGGAAATGGAATAAAGAGAGGGAAAAATCACTGGAGGCTGGGGGACACAGACCCAGAGCAGCTCAGAATCTCTCTGGGGTGACACCCTGGACATCGGCACCATGTGGGGGTGGTGCTGGCTCTGGGTCACCCCAAAATCTGAAGCATCCAGGGAACGAGCTGCAACCCATGGGCTCAGCCAACTGCTGCCCATCCCTGGCACCCCCATTTCCCCGGGAACAGAAACATGGGACCTCCATTCCTTATGTCCCACTCTCTCTGCAGCCCCCATCCCAACAATGACATTCCCTAGGATCTCCATGGCCCAGCACCCCATTCCCAAGGAACCCCTTCCTGTTCATTCCATCCCCCGAAATCTTCCTAGGACCCACCATTCTCCGATCCCATGAACTCAAATCCTTGGAGCCCACATTCCCCTGGGACTCCCATCCCTGAGTCCCCCCAGGTATGGAGACACTCATTCCAATGGCACTCCCATTGCCAGATATTCCCCCTCCTCCGGACCCCATTTACCAGTGACCCCATTCCTGCCTCCCCAAAACCACCGAATTCCCAACTTCTGGGAACCCCATGACCCATTTTGTCCCATGCACCCGTGTCCCCAGCCTGTCCACAACCTGCCCCCACTAAGGGCCACCTACGCATGAGGTCGAGAAATGACCTCGCTTCCTTCCCCTTCCTCCGAAGAGCCACCAGCCAGGGGAGCGGTTGCCACAGCAGCAAGTGACAGCCAGTGCACATGGCTGGGGACACCGGGATGGTCAGGAAGGTGGCGCTGCTCCTGTGGGGTGAGTGCCCCAGGCACAGGCATGATACCCCAGGGATGGGGAGGGAAGGGGGCACAGGGGGACTGTGGGGTCCCCTGAGGTCCCCAATGCCAGAAGAGCCACTCCATGTTACCCACAGTGGACCTTGGTGTGACTGGGGATGTAGGGTGGCTTTGGGGACAGGAAGAAGGGGCAGGAATTTGGGGATGGGGATGGGGGAACAGGAATGTGGGGACTGGCACCTTTGGGCTCAGGCAGCTCCGGGGATAGGGACAAGGGAACTGGGATGCAGGGACAGAAGGAGACAAGAACGCTGAGGATGTGGCTATGGGGATGGGATCATGGGGATGGGATCATGAGCTGGTGGGGGTGACCTGGGCCAGCATGGGCTGTGTCCTTGGTGTCTTCATGCCCACGGTGTCCACAGTGTCCCCATGTTCTGCCTCAGCCCAGGGTGACCTCAGGGTCCCTGTTCCCAAGGTGTCTGTACCACAGGGATTTGGTGCACGGGTGGCTGTGACACAGACATGTCCCCCTGCCTCTCCAAATCTTTTGGGGACCACCCACACACTTTCCCACAAGAGCATCTGTCCCCACGGGGACAGTCCGGGGACAGCCACCACACCCTGTACCCCATGTGCCTCTGTCCCCATGGTGACACCCCCACTGAGCCCTGCCCCTTCTCCCTTCCAGCCCAGACCCTCGGCCTTGCTGGTGAGTCCTCAGGGGATGCCATGTCCCCACCTCGCTGTCCCCAGCCCCACACTGGCCCTGGCAGACTGGTGTCCCCTGTCACCCACAGGTGCCCAGACCACCCAGCTCCTTGTGGAGCCCTCCTGGAGGCCGGCGGTGCTGTGGGACCGGGTGACACTGACCTGCCAGGGCTCAGGGACTGCCGGTGCCACCACCTGGTACAAGGACAGGCAGCGTTGGTGGCAGGAGGGACACAACTGCCTCAGTGTCACTGAGAGTGGCACCTACACATGTGACAGACCCAGCACAGGGCGCAGCCCCCCCTTGACAGTCTTAGATGGTGAGGGGAGACCTTTAATAATCATGGGGGCCCCAGAGTGGTAAGGGTGGGCTCCACTCCATAGGTGGCCTCACACCCCTCGTGTGACATGAGCCAGTGCCCTGCACACAGTGACATCCCAGTGCACCCCAGAGCACCCACATGTCCCCAGTGCTATGGGCACCCACCTCAGAACAGTCTCATCAGTGAGATGTGACCTTCCTGTCCCACAGACCCACTGGTGCTGCAGGTGCCAGCGCAGGAACTGCTGGAGGGGGACACCTTGACACTGCGCTGCTGGTGCCGGCAGGACAACCATCTCACCAGGGTGCGATTTTACCGGGAGGAGAAGGAAATCAGGGGGTCCCTCAGGGGGACCAAGCTGTCCCTTTCACCTCTGCAGCTGCACCACAGTGGCCGCTACAGATGTGAGGGCTTGGTGGGGTCCTGGCAGTCACGGTCAGCACCAGTGACAGTGACAGTGCATGGTGAGCACCCACACAGCTGGAACTCCAATATCTTGACAACCCCAAAGCCACTTCCCAGTGCACTCAGACTCACAGTCCTCACCTCTCCTCTCCTTCCCAGAGCTCTTCTCGTTGCCAGTACTGAAGGGTCCCCACGAGCTCACTGAGGGGTCCCCCCTGAATCTCAGCTGCCTGAGAACCCCCAACACCCTGCGGCCCTGAGCCCCCCTCCTGCACGTGTTCTACCAGGACGGGCAGGTGGTGGGGGGCCCGCAGGGGTCCCCACAGCTGCTGCTGCCCGCTGTGAGGGTCTCCCACTCGGGGAATTATGGCTGTAAAGTGCACTCCCAGGGGGGGTCCGTGCAGAAGAGCAGCAACCAGCTCCGCGTCACAGTGTGCAGTGAGTGCGGGGATGGGCACAGGGAGCCCTCACAGATGGCTCAGGTCCCCCACACTGCCTGGCACCCCCCAGACCTCCCTGACGCCTGCTCTGGGGCACTCAACCTTTACCAGATCCCCCCCTGCCCCCCCCATCCTTTCTCGGGGCTCTCCCCAGGACGCCCAGCCCCATACATGGGTACCCTCAACGTTCCCTGGTGCATTTTCTGTGTCCTGCCATAGCTGCCCTGGGTTGCTCCTAAGGTCCCCCCATTCCTGGCTCGTGTTTCCCTCCATCCTTCGTTGGGTCCCCTCCCCATCCCTGGGTCCCTCCACCCCTCTCTGAGGTCTCTGCACATTGCCCAAGTCTCACCAACCCCTCCCAGGGTCCCTGTACCCTTCCTGGTGTTGCCCACCTGCCTCTCCAGGTGTTCCCTCCCTGACCCCCTTATCATCTCTCGGGGTTCCTTTCTAAGCCCCCCCCGCCCCAATCTCTGCACCCTCTCTCCCTCACTGGAATTCCCCTGCCCCACCTTGACACCCCCCCGGGTCCCTCACTGTCCCCTGATGTCCCACTCTCTCGCAGGGGTCCCGCCCTCAGGGGTGTCCCTGTTGGTGAGCCCCCTGGGGGACAGGTGGCACTCGGGGACAGCCTGCTGCTCAGCTGTGTGGTGGCCATAGGGACAGGTCCCTTGTCCTTCTCCTGGCACCGGGAGGGCTCAGGGGCACTGCTGGGAACCAGCCCCCGCCTGGAGCTGCAACACGTTGGGGACAATAACAGCAGCCAGTACCGGTGCCAGGTCAGCAACGGGAACAGCGTGGCCGAGAGTGACTCCCTGAATGTCACTGTTCTGGGTGAGCAGGACCCTCGGGTTGGGGGTGACTCCACCCACGGCACCCCCTTACCATCTCACCAGTTGCCAGCACCATCTCTGTCCCCACAGTGCCTGTAGCCAATGTCACCATCACTCCCGGTCCCCTGTCACACCAGCTGCGTGATCCTGCGCTGCTCGGTGCAGGTGGGCTCAGCCCCTGTCACCTTCACCTGGCTGCACAATGGGCAGGAGGTGGCCCAGGGTCCCCTCCTGGAGCTCAGGGACATCGATGTGGGACATTTGGGCACCTACCAGTGCGTGGGCGCCAACCAGGATGGGTACCACGTGTTCCGGGCACTCAGCCCTGAGCTGGCCCTGGAGGTGACACCTGGCTCACCCTGGGTCACAGGTGGGGTCACAGGGGGTCACCAGGGTGTTCAGGACCCCTGCAGTTCAGGGTGACCCCAATGTGTCCCCTCTGTCTGCAGCAGTTGCTGTGAATGTTGGCAGGACCCTCCTGTTCCTGCTCCTGCTCCTGGCTGTCATCGGGGGCTGTCACTAGTGGCACCACCAGGGTGGGTGACATAGGAGGTGGACGTGGAAAGCCCCACACACTGGGGGCCCTGTTGGGGCATCACCCAAAGCCCTTGAGCTGGAGGAAGCTGAGCCCCCAGTGACCTTTGCTTGGGGTGCTCGCAGGTTTGGGGGCATTTTGGAGGGTCCTGGGCTGTCCCAAGAAGGGCCTTGAGGAATATTGGCGTGGCACTGGGATCTCCTGGGGGCTTTTTGGGAGGTATTGGAGAGTTGTGCAGGGATGTTGAGAGCTCTTCAGGGATCCTGGAGCAGTTTCGAGGGTTCCCTGCATTCCATTCTTGGGGTTCCTTGAGGCTTGAGGGGTGCTCAGGGGGTCAGGGTTCCTGGGGAGGGGGTTGGAGTACCTGGGTGACTCAGGTGTTCTGGGGCTCCTCAGGGGTGCTTTGGGGTGCAGGGGCCTGGGAGTCCAGTAGAAATCAGTGCCTGGTGAGGGCTCAGGGCTCCAGTGGGCATTTAAAGGTCCCAGGTGGGGTTGGGGCCCGGGACACCCCATGATCACCCCATCCTCTTTTTCTTGCAGCTCTCAGGAAGTCCCAGGACAGGTCAGTGGGGAGTCCAGCCATGACTCTGCCTGACCCCCTCCCCAGACACCCCTCAGACCCCCCTTATCCCCACAGGGCCCCCCAGAACCCCCTTATCCCCTGGAGGAGGGGGAGGGGCTGGACATGAGGGGGCAGGGGGTGAGTATGGGGGATGGGTGGGGACATGGACATGTCACCCATGGGTGTCACCCCAAGCCAGGTGTCTCTTACTGTCCCCCCCTAGGACCCCCAGGTGACCCACACAGAGCTGCCAGGACCACATGGGCGACTGCAGGACACCAGTGACATCCATGGAATCTGCTGTGACACTGGGGGACGCTGGGAGTCCCCATCCCATGGCTCCCATGGTGGCCCATCCTGCCTGGGGTGATGACCATGAGTCGGGAGGGCTGCACAGGGCACCCAGTGCTCCGCTTTCCCCCTCCCAGTGCTCCCAGTACACCCATGGCTCACCAGGCTCCTCCCTATGCCACAGGACACTGGACCCATTTCCTTTTTATTTAGTCCAAAATGAGGCTGCTTGGTTAAATTGGCAGCGATGGTGTTTGTTAAGCTTTGTTGGGCTTTAGGAATGGGATTCTCCAGTTCTGGGTTGCCACTAAAAACCATGGGCTGCTGCCCCTTTCTCTACCCCTCCCCATGGAGGCACAAAGATTCCAAAAGTCTGAGAGAAGAAAAATTTCCTGAATCAGCAATGAGAGAACAAAACCAACAGCAACAGAAACAAGGTTTAGAGTCCAAATTGTCACACAAGGAATAATTTCCAGGGAAAGCCACCAACAAAGAACAATCCCCGAACACTACCCCCCCCCCCATCATGTTTCCTCCACCAGAGGAATCTGGCAAAGCCCTGGACCTCCCTTGCTCTGATGGCCAAAGTGGCCTTCAGGAGGCTCTGGATTCTCTTGTCCCCTGTCCCAAACCCCTCCTCTGCCATCTTCCCCACACCAGGATCTCACAAAGGCACTGAGGGTGTTCCTGAGCCTCCCCCTTTCCCAGGGCAGTCAGAATCAGGCCATAGGACAGGGTGGGGTGTCAGAGACAGGAAAAATTTGAAGTCTGGAGACATTTTGGAACAGCTGTGTGTGGCAGGCGTGGGTCAGACCTTGCTTTTGGTGAGACAGGGCCCCGTCTGTCCATCATCTGTCAGCCATGGCACACTGGGGAAAGTGTGACACTTTGAAAAAGTCAGCTCCTGAGTGGCTGGGTGACCAGAAGTGCCACCTAGGGAGAGGACCCTTGGTGACACAACTGGCTTAAAAGGCAGTTTTGTCCCCGATCCTATCTGCTCTCTGATCCTATCTGCACTTGGGGTGTCTGTCCCATCCACACTGGAACCCAGAAGTTGGCAACTCATTTAAATGAGAAATATCTGCAAAGGAAACTGGGAAAAGTTCCTGGAATTGAAAGAATCCCATCTCCAAAACGTTTTTTAATTTCAAAGATGATCTGGCTTTCAGGCCAAAGTGTAGGAAAAGGAATAACAGCTCTTTCCTGGAAAAATTATAAACCAGAACAGAACAAACAACACAAACCCAGAACTTTCCCTCCCGCGCAGCGCTGTTGGTTTTTGTGGCAGTTATAACCGCAGCCATCAGGGGGCGCTGCAGGGAGCAATCCCGGCCAGCAGGGGGCGCTGCAGGCAGCACTCCCGCCCAGCAGGGGGTGCCCCGGTCCAGCTCCATCCCCTCAGGGGCCATGGCGGCTTCGGACGGGAGGGAGGAGGGGAAATCGCTCCTTTTGCAAACTCACGGCCACCAATCGCTCCCGGCACCACCACCGGCAGCGGGCAGAAGCCGCCAAGGCAACAGGTTGGATCACAGTGCCCACTGGCAGTGCAGCAGAGTCCTGGGGTCGGGCACACACCCTACCCAACACCCACGAGCGCTCTCCATGATCCCGAATGGAAGGAAGGCAGCGCCTGATCTCAGGCTCATCTCAGGTCCACAGCAGCACCTCTGGTGGCTTTACACCACAATTCCTGCAAACCCTCAGCCTTTCACTACGGTGAGGAGGGCAAGGATGGAGCAGCTTTGGGGACACCTGGAATCCACGCAGGATCACTCCCCACAGCCCCACCACAGCTGCAGCCAGAGCCACAGCTTGATATTTCCACACTTTTCCCTCTTGTCTGGCAACCACAGCCAAAAGCCAAACACTCTTCCCAGGCCATTCTAAAGGGCTTCATGTTTGAAGCAGGAAGGAGGAGGGAACTGGTCAGGTTGTTGAGCAGATTCTTGCGGGGTATGCAAGGCTTTTGGGGCTATCTCAGACCCTTGCTGCAAGGGACAAAATAATCAATTGCTGCATTTCCAGACAGGTTCTCTTTCAGCTGCCGTTAGAGGGGGCGATTTCCAGCCAGCCCTGCTCTGAAAACCATGAAAGGCCCTCACAGAGACACTGCTTGGGTTCCTTTTGGGTTTTGTGCTTCTTGCAGAGCTGAGCAAACCACAGACAGGCCTTTTTCTCCCACAGAATTCTCACCTCTGCAGCAGCTCTAAAGCTGCCAGAATCAAAGCCAAGAAGGCAAGGAGGGACCCTCAGGTGCTGGCTGCCACCTGGGGCTGGCCAGAGCAGGGCTGGGCAATGGCCATCCCTGGGCAGTGGGGCTGGGCCATGGCTATGCCCCACCCTTGGATGGCCACCACAACAACATCAGCCACTGTTGGAGATGAAGGGGAGACGACCATCCTTTAATGCATCGAACTCCAACTTTATTGATCAATCAATCACCTTAAATAACAGTACTAACGAACTTCATGCATATTCTGTAATCCAATGTCATGATAGGCTAACAGAGAAATTTCTAACCACTCCTCTTGTTTTAGAATACCTACAATTGTTTATTAAAAACAGAACCAGTGTTCCCAAAACTTCTTCATCAGTTCTCAGGGTGCCAGCTTTTCCCAGAGACGGTGTTCTTCTTGTTATGGGAAGACAGCCTGAGAACTTTATTGTTTATAAAGATAGTCTAATTGTTTATACAAATCAGAAGGCTGAGAACTGTTAGAAACTGCTTTACTTTTCTCTTCTACTTTTCTCTCAATTGTATGCCTCATGGCCTTTTTCTTCAAGCCATTCTTGAAAAACTCTCCAACAAGCCACTCCACAATACTTTTCACTATCTGAACAACATTGCAATATTTAATCAACAGTATAACCAATAATGTAATATCAATTCATATAATATCCAGTAAAAGTCAACTTCCATTAACTTGTTTCTCACAATACATACCAGTAAAGAACTGTTATTCCTGTTCCCACATCTTTACCTAAAAGCCCTGTAATTTCAGAATTATAATAGTTCAGAGAGAAGGGGGTGGTATTTTCCATTCCAAGGGAGGTTCCCCCCTTGTTCAGCTTCCTTGACACAGCTGAACAAAGAAACACCATTTCTGCCAGTTTCACCAAAGAGCTGCATTTTTGTCCCAGGAGCTGGGAACCAGGTCCTGTGCCCCCTTGGAACTGGCACGGGCACCAGTAAGCCACCTCATTGGGAGCACTGGGATGGGGACTGCAGAGCCACTAAGCACACTGGGGTTAAGAGGATCAAATCTGATTTTGATTTATGTCTCAACATACGCTACACATGAGGTGAATAATTACTCTGTGGTTGTACATGTGCTGGGAACCCTGTCCCTCGCAAGGCTTCACAAAACAGACGATCAGGGCAGAGAAAGCTTCAGTGATCGGGCTATGAGTGACCCCCACTGGCTGGTGGGACAGATGCCCGAGGAAAAATATCTATGAAAAATGCCCCGGAAATCAGGCTGTGGGAGGAGCCTTTGCAAATAAAAGCAGCTAACTGTGACACAACAGGAGTGTTTTGCTTTAGGTTTCTTGCAGGGATCAGGGGCTCGCTCGGAGGGTCAGTTTGGCCCTCCTCCCCTGTGGGATTCACATTCTCTGAACCTGAGAGAAGCAGTGAGAGAAGCAAAGAATGATCCAAACAATTCTCATCTCATTTTCTGCTCCTGTGTTTTTCACACGTGGAATGCATTGTGGAAGATTGTTTACCTGAAGGGAATTGCTAATTGGATTCTGGTGTGAGTGTTTTGATTCACTGACCAGTTGAATCCAGGTGTGTGTGTGTGTGGGGACTGTTGTCTGACAGTCATGAGATTGTGTGCAGTGGATGCAGTTGAGTGCTTGGCAGATTCAGTTTAGATGTAATGGAATATAGAATAATACAGTATCATAAAGTACTTAATTAGCCTTCTGAAAAGATGAAGTCAGATGCATCATTCCTCCCAGACATTGGGCAAAAATATCACCTATACTACCCCCATTGCCTTTTCCTCCTGGTGGTCCTTCTTCCCTGTCCACACCCGTTCTTCCCTGCTTCGCTGCTTCCATGAGGCAGCTCATTCCTGCTCGTCCTGGATATTCCTTCATTGCCTCCCCGATGGAGGAGATGCTGCCTGCATCCCCCCACCACCTCTGCCGCGTTTCCCATGCTGCCCACAGCACCGAGCCTGCTGCACCTGCCCACCGCAGCCCCAGCCCGCGGCAGCCAGCCCAGAGTCACCAGTGCCGCAGCACCAGCCTGCAGCCAGCCCGCAGCAGCCAGCCTGCAGCCATCGCTCGCCCATGCCAGAGACACGCAGGTGCTGTCCTTGGAAATCACACCCAGCCACTCACAAAAGCCATGTGGGCTCGCCCTGGCTTGCAGCACACACACTCCATCTGCCCAGCTGATGCCCACAGAGCGCCTGGGCTTCTTGCAGTAGCGCTGTCCCTGTCTTCTGTTTCTCTCTCTATCCTTGTCCCTTTCTACTCCCTTCTCTCCACATTCAGTAAGAACACTTACCCTCCTTTATCAATAAACAGTTCTCTGATATAATATTGCCATCTTTGTGCTTCATTTTCACCTTAGAAACCTTTCAGCAAGAATCCTCCCCGACTCCCCCTTTTACAGCGGGATGGGACTGGGGTAGTGGGAGGGGGAATGGGGAAGCCCTGGGTGTACTGCAAGCACTGTGGGGAGAGAATGGGGCAGTCCCTGAGGGTACTTGGGCACTTGGATGGGGCTGGGGAGCCCCCGCAGGAACCAGCAAAGGGATGGGGGAGCCCTTGGGGATACTGCGAGAGGAAATGGGGAGCTCAGGGTGCCCTGTGTAGCCTCCCACTGACCCATGACCACCTCCCTTGGAAGGATGGGCAATCACAGGAGCCATGGAGGGAGCACCCCCAGTGTCACCCAGCGCATCCCACTTCCCAGAGCATCACAACTTTT